CTGTTTATCATTTTAGCACGCTCATTGTGTTTCAAGTAGTCCGAGCACGATCAATGTTTAATGCTGGCTCATGTGTGGTTGGACCGTCTTAGTTATTTAGAAGTCCTATTTGTACCTGGGTGAGCTAATAGCTTCCATACCCCCTTGGTCTTCATCAACCACGCGCCTCGTGTACTCTTCATTGCCGTATGGGACGCACGTGGCTACCTAAGATACAACCGACAGTGGATCTCATCGTTGCTGGTAACCTTAATTGTTGAATACTGCAATGGTGAATGCGCTGGTCGTGAACACCCCCCCACCCCCCCACCCGTGTGTTCGGGCTCACGACATGATCGGCGTCTCTCCGTCTCGGTTGTCGTCAATGTTGTTTGTTTTCGTAGTTCCATTTGTGTGTCAGTCTCCATGGCTGCGTCTCTCTCTCTCTCTGCATGTCGCCCCCCGCCCCCCCGTGGCTCTCTGTACCTGTCCCTTTTCTTTCTGTGTCTGTGTGTGTCACTCTCTGTATCGGTGTCTATCACTCTCCGTGTCTGTTGGAAGGGCGCCCTTATCCCCCGTTCGCAGTGTCCTGGCCAATATTAAAGCTTGGCGGTAGGAATGATTTCCACACAGCCCTTCACATGCATTGTCCAACACAGCAGACAACCACCATCGCTACCGCCAGTGTGTGTAGCCGCAGTGTTTGCTCTGCGCATTGTACCGGATGCCCATTCACCGCGCGCCGTCAACCCCGAGGGCGGTGGTGGTGGCATCAGCGGCACCCCTCGTGATGACCTCTCACCAAGATGAACTCTCAATGAGTGTCTCCGCAGCCATCCTGTTGTAGCTAACTCTAAATACGGGGATGGCGGGGGCACTGCTGTTCAATAGAAAGGGGGCATGTGCCCGTGTCCCCCCAGCCGCCCCCCCCCCCCCCAACATCCATAGAATGGCAACCGATACGAATGGGCATGACACGTGCGCCGTGTTGGCTGTCGCTTGCGACTTCACACAGCCGCGTGCCATGCTGCAATCAAGCCCAGGGCCAGGACACCCGACGCAATACGCGCTGGGTGTAAGTACGGACAGCTCTCGGTTATCTATGGGTGGGTCTTCAAGTGCTTGCAACAATAAACGCGTGTATTTCACACATTGCTGGTTCTATGATCAGATGCTCCCCACTTGTGGCGGGCCAGCGAGTCTGTCCACATGACCGCGCACACATCCAGGAAGCCGATTTACTTGAAGATGCAACAGCTACTTAGACGAAGCCTATGTCTTGACTCGCACTCGACGCGGGTAACCGAGACACGTGCTGACACCCGAAGTAACTCGTGTTCTGTACTATCCGTACTATTGTTTTATCCAGGCCACCCCTCCGCCACTGTTGAATATAAAATTAATTGGATTTTTGGGCTGTCAGGGGGGGGCAGGCACCCCCATCGCCCCCCTCCACTGCCATTACCACGGTTAATTGAGTTTTTTTCCCCTTTTACACAATTGATGAGCACAGTCCCAAAGGCCTCAAGACATCAATGTCCAGCAACAGACAGCACTGTCAAAGTTGTAGTAAATTAAAGTTGACGTATTTTTTTGAGAAAGGTGACCGTGAGAGTTTGGGGGAAGAGACGATGGGAAGGAATTCCCAAGTGGAGCAGAAGACGCGGTGCGACCTGCGGTGTGGGTGAGCGGAGTGGGTGAGCGGTGTGGTGAGCGGCGTGGATGAGCGGGGTGGGTGAGCGGCGTGGGTGAGCGGCGTGGGTGAGCGGCGTGGGTGAGCGGCGTGGGTGAGCGGCGTGGGTGAGCGGCGTGGGTGAGCGGCGTGGGTGAGCGGCGTGGGTGAGCGGCGTGGGTGAGCGGTGTGGGTGAGTGGTTTGGGTGAGCGGTGCGACCTGCAGTGTGGGTGAGCGGCGAGTCCATTTGCCTAAACTTGCCATCAGGGCACACTCGAGTGCGACCTGCATGTGACAGCCAGGCAGCGTCTCCCGTGCATTCCGCTCAGATTAAACATAAGCTTTGGCCCCTGTCAAGTTCTAACTCCGCAGAACGCGTCACACAGTAACGGGGTGCGGCGGGACGTGACGGTCAACACGAGCGGACTTGTCGGGCGAGCCAACCGCCTGAACCTTGGACACGGGCGAGGCTGGGCATTGTTGAACACCAGAACGGGAAAAGCGACACGCGTAGTGAAGAGACCGCACGTTGCAATCGTCGCGGATGCAGAGCACTTGAGTCAAGCGAGCACTCGCACGAACCGCACGAGACATCCAGACCCACCGGCCCGACTCAAAACGTAACCACCACGATAGTCGAGTCCAAGCGCTCACCACAATGAGCTCCACCCTCACCCGCGAGACACTGGGCTGGGCCTGCCCAAAGCCATCAAGCGGACAGCCGTCGTAGACGCTGCTCCAACTACCCCAGCCGACCAGACGCAAGCCCACGTGTGATGCTACAGCGATAGCCCGAGCTCGCCGAGTGCAGCAACACCGCGGCTAGCGAAGCTTCTGGGAACCGAGGAAGCTCCTTCATAACGAAAGTCGACCACGGAGGGGCCTCCGAACCTCGGTAGTTTTGCCACAACAACAACAAAAATCGACGAAATTAAGTAACTTTAGAATGTATGCAAAGTGATTTTTTTTGAAAAGTCGAATTTTTGTTCACGCTGCATGTGCCCTGTATACATGATCGAGCGGAGTTTGACTCCTGTATATCACACGACGTAACACGATTTTTGTCCCTGGGTAGTAAGTGTTATTTTCTAATTGCTTTTGCCTCAAAATTATTTTTTAAATGGCTGTTATTATTCATCACAAACTTTACCTTTGTGACCAGGACTTTACGTGAAGGAATGACACTAATGCACACCACGTTTTCTCATTGACAATAGGTACATTTCGAAATATCACTGTCCTGGTCACAAAAGCAAAGTTTGTGGGGAATCATAGACATTTCCTGTACTTTTGAGGCATAAGCAATTAGGAAATAACACTTACTACCCAGGGCCAAAAATAAATAAATGTGTTACACAGCGTATTAGTGGAGTGGATTATTAACTTGGCTTTTGTGTCTGGGTCACAAAAGCAAAGTTTGTGGGGAATAATAAAAGCCACTTTATTGTACTTTAGAGGCATAGGCAATTAGGAAACAACACTTACTACACGGGGACAAAAAAGTAGTTTCGTGACAGTGAATGACCAGCGGCCTATCGGCAGTATCCCTCACTCGGCCTGACCCGCGGTCTTCTCTCGCTCGCCATTGCTCAAGCCCCGCGTGCTGGTAAAGAGTTGTCGCGTGTTTTGCAGTGATACCAATGTTTTATTACCACCCTTTGTCATCCAAATGATCATCCAGTGCAGATCTATCTCTCTGGGAGCGAACATGCAGATCATGAAGGAGGGTAGAGGCGGGAGAGAAGAAAGGTGAAACTGCGTGGTTCGTTTGGATCAGTCCACCTTAAATAGCATTTTAAACCAAGCGGACAAGATAAACATACTTTGCTGCAGAAATCGAGTGGCCCTAGTGCTACTGAAGTCGCATGCTCACGAAGCAGTGTTATTGAGAAACTGTTGAGCGTTTGGGTGGTCTATATGACGCGACGGCACATCCATTCGGCCATGCACTGATGACGCAGAAGGCACCGAGCCTGTTTGATGTTTTCCTATTAGTTACCCCCCCCCAAACCCTTTCTCTGAAGTCCTTGAAGGCATCCCTATCCCCCCCCCTCCTCTGTTCTATCCACCTCTGGTAACGAAGTTTCTGACAACGACGTGACGTCATGGAACGCATCCGCACCTTAGTCCTGCCCGAACACCTATCAACCAGAGACCCCCTTCCACCTAATCATCCTGACCACACTAAACCAAACACAGTTCGGCGAAAACGCAAACGAGCAAAGCAGACCCGACCGCTCAACCCTCCCGCACGACAAGCCCCGAGCAGTCTGCCTGCCTCGAAGGCGCCACAGTCGGCCACGCGGTCGTAACCCCTCGGTTTTGGTTTGCGGATTTTCACATTCGGTGCATGGTCGTGATAAATGGGGAGTTGTCGAGACTGGAATAACAAACCGTGCGTGTGGCTCTGGCCAGTGACACTCGCACGTTCGCTTGCATGTGTCACCACCCACGTGTATGTACACACTCGTTATGGGGAGACAAAGGCGGCCGCGCGTGGTGCTGGTGGCCACCCAGCCCCCTCGTGTGCCGTGTCGGCCTTCATAAGTGCCACTCGCTAACAGCACTTGCCCAACAGTTTGTCCAAGGCTACACGGGGGCATCTTTGTCTTTGCACATGGCATTGTATGCATGTGTATATCCAAGCTAGTTCTCCTGTGGCCACATCTGGTGGCACGAAAGGTATTGACGTGGCAAGTACTCGCTCGTGTTGATTACTTTCAACCAACAGTGACGCTCAATTTAAACACGTAGGCTTTCGCGATCAATATCATCCATTAGAGGGTTTTTTTGGGTTGGATCGCGTAAATATATAAATGTGTTGTTAAACCCGCCACCAAATCTGGCTGTCGCTGGTTGAAGCCAGTTGTGATTACTGGAGAAACGTCGTACTCAGATTGTAAATGTTGTGGCTTGGCTCTCCAACACACCGGTGTGCTGTACTAGTATACTACACTATACACTACACTACTATACACTACACACTACACTAAACACTACACGACTATACACTACAATATACACTACTACACTATACACTACTATACACTACACTATACACTACGACACTATACACTACACTATACACTACGACACTATACACTACACTATACACTACACTATACACTAGTGCTGTACTAGTGACGAATTGCCACGTTGTTTACGTGACAACCCTTACTGGTTGGCTGTGTCGGGTGGTGGCGGGTTTAACGACACATCTATATATTTTCGCGATCTAACCCCAACAAAACACTCTATTATTAGGGACGTTCAACTTCCGTAGAGCCCCCCCCCCTCTGCCGAATCGAGCCCCACCCCCTTCCTCTCTCCCCATCGACACCTTTCCCTTTAGGCCCCGCCTCCTCTTGGTTGAATCCCCACCCCCTTCCCCCCACCCCCAGGGGTTGGCCTGCTCTGGGTAGTGCTGGTGGATGTGTAGTGGTGGTGGTTGGGTGGTGGTGGTGGTTGGGTGGTGGTGGTGGTGGTGGTTGGGTAGTGGTGGTGGTTGGGTGGTGGTGGTGGTGGTTGGGTGGTGGTGGTGGTTGGGTAGTGGTGGTGGTTGGGTGGTGGTTGGGTGGTGGTGGTGGTTGGGTAGTGGTGGTGGTGGTTGGGTGGTGGTGGTGGAGGTTGTGGCAGAAAGGGGGGGGGGTCAGTAGGCGGTGGGGTAGATTTTAGACGACCACCAGAATCCCTCAGGGCAACATAGTAAGAGTAGTACTTGTGTATATAGCGTTGTAATTGTTGCTGTTGTAATATATGCACGTATATAGCATTGTATTTAAGGCGGTAGTGCAAATACTCTCGGTACATTAGTGCATGCCATAACTCTGTGCGCTGTACTCACGGCAACGGTCTTATCTGTCATGCTGGTTATCAAATTATAAGAAAAATAACAATCACGACAATAAATCAACAGCAAGCCCCCCTACACGCACTACGAGAAATCACTGTGTCACGTGCCCACCCACACACGGCAGTAATACTGCAGGACGATCACGAGCGGCAGTGCCCTGGTCAAGCGACTCCATGGATAGGCCGTGACCTCTGTGGAATCCGATTGACAGGTTAAGATGTAACGCCACGCGATGTGACAGACATGTTTACACGTAACCACCAAGTGGAATCTAGTTGCACGTAAAATATAATCTCTGTGTAATCCGATTTTAAAGTTAAAAGTAACCGCGTGTAATATGATTACCATGCCTGCCAACCCATACAGTTTACCCGTATTCTTGTACAGGGAAATTGAGTTGTCAGGTCCATACAGCGTACAGCCGTCTCAGGACGGGCAAAAACACGTTTTGTCTATTTGTGTTTCTCCCTTGTGATGGGACTTTGTAGGATGAACGTTGAGATGTATAAGGGGCACGGGGTGAAACCAATAATGTCTGAATTGGTCTGTAATAAGGTAGGGCACTGATAAGGGGTTGACAGGTATGGGTTACATGTTTAACTTTCACCGTGTGTAATCCGATTTACATGGCAAACTTGGCTCGACGAATAAACAAAACCCGGCACTTGCTGTAAACGAATGCCGGCTGCCAGCCAGGGGCTGAGTTGGGTAAGGGGAGCGCGGGTGGTTAGGAGCCTCTTCAAGACACAGCCATGTTATCCTGTCAAGCTGTGTAATCATGAGATGCCAATACAACAACTTGGAAGTTTTGTTTATAGGAAGGAAAAACAAACCTTTAAAATTTAAAACCAGTACCACAATCGATGGTGGTAATATTTCCATCAATTGTTGATGTTTTTACATGTTGCTGTTCCTGTTTTTCAAGTCACTATTTGTTGAAATTTGATCAACTTTTTTTTAACTCATTTACATTCTTAACCAGGATTAGTCCCCATTTATTTAAAAGTTTATTTGTTCGCTTATTATTATACTATAGAGGTAGATCGATCTGAAGGCGCGTATGACCGTGTTCCTTTTATCATTAAACGACGCTGTAAAATCGGTGTCTGGGACAGACCCGGACACAGTCTGTGCGTGAATCTGCAAGACACTTCCACCGACATCGGATTCCACAGAGCGAAGCAAGAGGGTGGTGCCCACTCTGCCCGCTGGACTTGATGCCAAGTGGGTCGGGAGGCTGAGGTTGTGTTGCCTTCTAAAACACTGGGGTCGTCATTCCACCCCTCCGCCAACACAAAGCGCGCGCGCGCAGCTCCACGCACGGGATGATTCGAACCCGTCACTGCTGACTGGAATTTCAAAACACAAGTTCGCAATTGAAACCAAGTAAACGGAAACGATGATGATAAAAAAAAAATAGTAACAAATCTTCAATGGAGGCAAAGGCTGTATTGTAACAAAACAATATTAGGGCATGGAATTAGTGTTTTGGAAAGTCACGTTTGTGGTACAGAACAATTTCAGGACTGGCAACTCCATTTAAAACCGCCGTGCAGTCTGCGTGACTCGCTGGGTTTCCAATTACTACAGTAGGATGCAGCTCCACTCTTCTGAACACACATAGTGCATCCTTTATTCTAAATTAACTTCACATGTAGTTTTCACAAGCCATGTCGGATGGGGAAGGGTTTCACTGCAAACATTTTGCCGGATCATTGCATGTTGTAACCCAAAAAAATCTATTATGAATTATAAATAAACTTAAACAAAATATAGACTGCACTTGTACATACACAGCCCTTTTAATGAATCCACTGCTGATTGAGGGCCTCCAAGGTTTTTTGCAAGCCACGAGGGTTTTTCGAGGGAGCAAAGATGCGAGAAAGCATAGCAGTACAGTACAACAAAGGACGTCACCGAAACAAACCTTCCTCCACTGCCCAACACGTGCTCACGCTGAGAACCTGAAAACATTCGTTCTGATCTCGAGTTCAGTGAAACGCCTTTCAGTTGTTCTCTCAGCGTCCCGACGTTTCTGACCGGGAATTGACAAGCGCGGACGACAATTGGGAAGCCCCAAAACCAGCCCCGAGACTAAACATGCGCCGCAAGCTGTATGCACAACAGACATTCACCACCTCATTGGCAGTGCCTGCTCGAGAAACGTCCCAGGGTAGGAGGGGCGGCGGCCCAAAAACGCAAACCTTTCAAATAGGGCCGTGAATTAATAAAAAATTAAATGCATTTACTCTTGTGAAATATAAATATACACATTTTTGGGGTCCACCTCTGCTTGTCAATGCCAGCTGTGTGGGAAGCTTGGCAATGAGTAATTGAAAACCTGCAGAGATAGATTTGAGTTCTGCTTGCGATAACCGTTTTTAAAATGTCATGGCAATTGGATTTTACAATGTGCATGAAACACTGGACATAGCTACAAGGTTTTGCTATCTCTGGTGAAACCAATGCTTGCTCTGGGCTCATGCACAAAAAGCCACATACAGTACTCTCGATCATCCGGGCAGGATGGCCACGGATAATCCAAAAATATAAGTTTTTTTGCGGATCTGTATGGCTAAATCCATTAATACAGGTATCAATTCTGTTTAAATTAAGAAAGTGGAGTTTATTAATGACCAAAACAAACATTTGTAGGAAAGAATGTATTGATCCTGTTTTATTAAATCGATCGATGCGTTCGCTCGGTGATGACACTTCACTGCTTCCGCGCAGAAGACTCAGCCCACTAAGTGGATATCAGAGCCACGCCCATCAAAGTCAATCAAACTCCGCCCCACTTGTAAAGATATGCAACTCCTGTACTGTAGAGGCGATCACGTGGATTTCCGATTCACTGGAGCACATTTGTTCGGTTTAAGAACGTGACTTGTAAAAAACATTTCCAAGAATAACTAGAACTGTTTTTAGATTATTTGGGCTTTAGCGAGAACCCACGAGTTATTAATTTATGTCAATCTCAGGTGCGCAGTTAATCGCAAATCGAAGAAACCGCACATCGATAATTATCGAAAGTCCACTACACTTGCTTTTACACAGACTGACACATGGTGTCACTTTAATGTCTCTCCGACTACGCTCTGGCCGTTTGCCATGCAAGGCCATAGAAGACGAACACAAATACACAACAGAGAGGTGCAAATCATAGCCGTCTCTTTACTCATCTCTGGAATGACAACACTCAGCATTTGCTAACAATTATAATTTTCAGTTGAAATTTGGGTAGGGTGGGATAAGCTTTCGTGACTGCAGGAATTCATATTCCTTTGGGTCTTTCGGTAAAGTCACGTAGATAGGTTCAATGGAAATAACAAAAAATAATGATGACGAACGCTTGTGTTGCGATCGAAACGTCCTAGTTTTTGGTTATTTTCTTTGAACCTGTCTACGTGACTTTACCGAAAGAACCAAATAATAGGGTGGGATCGCCAATTCCCGTGAGTGCAGGATTTGCGACTCGGGTCTTGCGTGTCCAACTCCGCGTGCGAATTGAGCGGCCGCCGCCGCCGCCCCCCACCACATCCTGCCCTGGGACATGTGGCCACGATCCCTAATTGGAGTGATAATAATCACCAGGGTGTCTATAAGTGGGACGACTCTAGGGGCCGATGGGTTAGCTAACCACATGCGAGCGTTGCGTGTCGCACGCTAGGTTTAAAACGGGCAAGACAATTTACCAACGGAGGCAAGAGAGCAAAAAACACGATGCAGAGTGGGAGATGGTTTCAGCTTTCGTAACCAGACACCAAATGTACAAAATACCGGCCTGGGCAACACTGTCATCTCCTTACACAGGTGACGAGAAGCACCGAAACCAAATAAAGAGTTCATCTTTCAAGGCACAATTTTGTTGGATCACTGACATTACTGAAAATTTCGATGTAGAGGGCCTAGGATTGGCAATGTTAAGCCTCGGTCTGACAGATTCATGGTGATGTCAGAAATCACTGAAACATTGCGTGGTGATGTCAATCTTCGTGCTCGTGCAGATCAGTCTCCAATGAACGTGTAGCATCTCGCATCAGCCATAGACATGAAAAGATTCAACCCTGCATCGATACTATTTTTTTTACTTTTTGAGTTTGCTGTCCTCCCACCCCTGACTAGCACGGTTTGCTACGTACGACGTGAAAGCAGTTCATACATCTTGTTGCGATTTGAGGGTCCTAATTCAAGAATCGAATCTTATTCAAGCACTGTGATGACTGGTAGTGCCTGTCGTAGCTGCAGGGGAGACAAGAACCCATTAACAACAACCGAGACCCCCCCCACCCCGCCCCCATTGGTTTTTACTCCATTTGATGAATTCACCAAAAGATACACAGTTAATGTTAATCGCTGTGGTTCCACCCGTAATTAGGTAATTAAAAGCGCACCCCCCCCCCCTCTTCCAGTGACATTTTTACTCGAATGCTAATTCAGTGGCAAATACAGGTTCCGTCAGCATCATCGTTTGCTATAAATTCGTGGGATTCATTAAGTTCTACAATTTGTGACCATTCCCAACACTGGGAGCTGAATCGATTGCGTCTCCTGGCACGGCAGTTAAAACAATGGGGGAACAAGTTTCCAAAGTGTCCTGGCTCTTGCCCACCCAGCAGCATAAATGGGTACAGCACAGTCTGATCAGCAGGTGACGTGGTGGTGGGAATGTAGACCAAACACCGCGTAGAGTTCGCTCAGGTAGATGCCCTTCTGCCAGCACGAGCGCAAGCAAGCAACTGCAGGGCTGCATCTTTCCCCAGCACGTTTAAACGATTTTAACGGATGACATTTCCGTGAGACGCAGCTGCGATTGAACCCAATTGATGAATATTCATTCGCACCATCACGGATAGCAGTTGCATAAATACAAACCGTGGAATTATCAACAACATCCACCTATTAAGGTTTCAAAACAGCCTCTTCACAGCAAAATGTAGCGAGACTTACACGTCGCCTATCACGGGGCGGTGACTTAGCCCAGTTGCCACGCATTCACCGCTTGTTGCAGACGTTTGCGGTTCAAATCCGGCAGGCCACCTTGGTTAATACTGCCAGCGTATTGACTGTAAAATATGCACTGTTTTCTTCAAGCTGGTGTTGTATCCCTTGACATCATTTGCTAGGATTAAGCCATTGTGTGCTGGTGTTTAGGTCCAAATTGGCCAAAAAAAAAAAAAACCTGCAAATTAGACAATTGGAATCAAACACATACAAATATCGCCCCGACTACGACACGACTGCAGAATGAAACGGCAGCACCTTCCTTTGTGACAGCCTTCCACTAGAATGACGTGAATACCAAATGTGCTCCATTACCTTAATTAATATCACGCTATGGCGATTGTAGTTTGGAATGAAATAGCTTGAAGCACACACCGTGGCACACACACACAATAAACGGTAATTATCACCTTCCAACTTCATTACCCATTGTTCCACAATGGGCAGCAATCTTTAAAAAATATTGATACGTGCACAATTTTGCATACGAAATGCCTTTTAAAAACGCGTTATTAAATTAAATATTTAAGCTGATCCCGCTAAAAAAAAATCTCAATTATTTGTGCAAGCATCGCCGACTTTCATAACATTACATTGGAACTCGCTCATATTACACAACGACAATGGAACTCGCACTTTCTGTAACGAAACGCAGCGATTCATTGCAACATTCTACTCGGGCTGTCATTTCCTGCCGACCGGTTTTCCGGAGTGGGAGCGAATGGTACCGGTGGATGCGGAGCGTGCCGGGCGTTTGGTTGCAGAGAGTTCACGGTTTGAATGCAGCAGGCTGCCTTGGCCATTACTTTGGGAGTATTTACAGTTAAATGCGACGACGTGCCGTCTGCTTCCCCGCGGCGGTGTTAAAAAGTCATGTAACGTCATTCGAAACGGGTATGGCATTGTGTGTCATGGTCCAAATTAGCCAGATTAGAAGAATGGCCCGCAAGTTACGCAATTGTGATTATGCATATCAAGATGTCTTCCTATTGGCAGGCTATATCCGTCCGTGAAACACAGCACCCTTGGGTTATAGCTCTGCGCTATAAGATTGGCGTGAATACCAAATGTAGAAAATTAATATAAATTCCAGATTGCCTTCCTCGGACGGATCCAGATGCAATTAGACTCCGCTTCTATACTGAGGTGTTGTAAACATGTTGCGTGATGCCTGCCAATCCCTACCAAAAAAATAAATAATGATTAAATATGTAAACCTCGCCATTCCGCTGTTGGTTTCTGCGCAGTAGTTCGGTGCTCATGCACTTTAAGACCATGGGGACACACGGAACGTCGGGGATGAACACCGCCACAAGCCCAAACTCCAGACCTTCAACGGGCTCACGTCATAGCAAGTTATAACATTCTTTAGAAAAATCAAGGATCCGCGCGGTCGCATTTCGCAGGGCGTGTAACCAAGGCCTACGATTCGTCGTGGCTCTGCTCTAGCTCGGCCTCGATCGTGGCATGGCCCGGGATTGAGCCGCTCGGTTGCTTTCAAGGACGTGAACGGTTCAGCCGTGGCTTGGCTTCGGCTCGGCTCATGGAAATCCTCAGCTTGGCTGGGTGTCGTGCTCAGAACTAGCTCCGCATGAACTGGCTCATGCGGAGCCAGAGCTGTCACTTAAGAATGTGCCTACATCAAGTGGTCGGCACAATTACTTGCGTGCTCTAAGAAGCAACCCACAGACCCAGGCCGCGCGTCTCCGTCCGTCCAACACGAATCTGTCGCTTGTTACCATGAGGGGGGGGGGGGAGAAGCCCTGTAAGTGACCGTCAGGCACGGTCTGCTGATGCCACGTCACAGTAGAATGCCTTAGACTCACAGGGGCCTTTTTATTCTCATCAAATCTTCAAACTCGTGTGGGAGAGTGTGGGACATACGGCCTGTGTGCGCGTTTTCACTTAAGACACGTGCAGACATCTAATTCGCCCTGTTGCGTGAATGCTTAATACCATCGCTGCGGCCGAGGTTACATCCTGCTGCGCTTACATAATGGTAGCGTAAATGCTTCGCATCTCACGAGCGGAGCAGGGTTATCTGGGACTGTCAGGGCGTTCGTGGAATGAAGCCGGTGCGTGTGACCTGAACGGGAGAGAGAACGGCAAGTAGTTGAGAGAGAAATGCCCTCCTAGAGAGATGATCAAAGTGCTGTCGGCTCAATGGTTAAGGTGTTGCTCCAGCCACGAGTCGGAGTACGGGTGCCACCGTTTCACCATTCAATACAAACGCAGCAGCTTGTTTTAGAACTGCAAAAAAACACCAAGTATATTTTCCTAAAGAAATAATGTCCATCCATTTTAAGTAAACTGTATTGCAACACACATGTAAAGTGTTTGTGTGTAGGTGTCAAGTGTCTGTCTTATGTACACGTGGGCACTGGGACTTCAAGTGGGGCTTGGGAACTGAACTCGTGGTGCCAACACCACCGATCACTCGCAACGCCTTAACAGCCGCCGGTCAAGTGTGTTTTTCAAATATCATCATTAGGAACAGTTTTATTTACAACTTGGATTTTAACTTAATTAATTTTCGTGCAAAAGCATCACCTTCCATCACTACCTTCGTAGGGACGGGTTGTTTCGCTGCATGTTGCCAGGGGTTCATGGTACGAATCCGGCAGGCCACCCTGGTTAATACTGCGGTGTGCATTATAAAATACGTGCCGTCTGCAGGCCAGGCACCGCGGCACCTTGTGCCACGCAAGGACAGCTGCCAATAGGGGTGCCCTTGAACATGTTTGGGATGAGATGCAAGTCGTGTACAACGCTCTACCAAAAATACTCAACATTTGTTATCCACTATTATTAAGTTTGGCATGATTTCACCGATAGGAATGTAACATCTCATACTTTTGCCTGTCACGCACCTGTGCACTCAGCACCATTTCGGTGTGGTGGCCGATCGGGCGCTCACAAACCCATACGTGTACCTGAACTTGCTCGAGCGACACAACGGTGGTACAAGAGAATGCCCGTCAAGGGCGGAGTAAGATGGGCCCACCGTGAGCCCGACAAGGCGGCAGAGTCGCTGACGAGTTGTCGACGCGATTGCGGAATGCACTTTTAAAATGGCCACACGCTAAAGACGACAACAAAGGGAGCAGACGTGACGCTGGGCGGTAGCAGGCATGTCACACGAGGGATCCCATGCCACCAAGTGGTAAAGAAAACCGATTAAATCGCGCACTCACTCCTTTTGCCAACACCACCACCACACCGGGCGGCAACAACAACAACCGCAGCGCATCTGCCCCTTGCGTCATCACTCCCCCCCGCCCGCCCGCTCGCTACGACGACGCACCCAGGTTTTAAAAAACAAAGGGGCGTCATTGGCGATGTCGCCGTACGGAAACCGAGTAAAACCGCGGTGACAGCCACGCAGTGCCGGCTATACGTCGACGGAGCCGCGCCGGTCATCGTGGGGCCCGGGTGGCGGTGATGGCGTGCGTGGGGACCCACAGCCGTAGCCAGTGAACGTCGGGCAGATGGGGATATAGCGCAGCCAGCGCGTGCGCCGAACTGCGGCCATGCCCACGGGGAAGTCGTAAACCTTCGCCACGGAGTGCACAGAGGACGGCTGCGACGTGTCGGGGCCCGTGGCCTTCCACTTGAGCAGCCCCCGCTCCTCCACAGTGCCTGCACAAATCACCACCACGTCATCACCATGAGTACCAACAACAACAACAAAACCGCCACCGTTCACGACCAAGCGGCGGTGACGTCACCACGGCGCTTGTGCCATGCTAGGTGCACTTTGAGGCCACCTGAAGTGTCGAAAGGCCGCTGGCAGGTCACGGAACGGATCCAGGTTTCATGGGTTGACTGACAAGATGACTGGCAGATGCCCCAACTGTGCTACCCCCTGTGCCAATTTTTTGCATTTTAGCCGCCCGGTGCTTCGCTCATTGTTGTGAGCATCGCTCTTCTGCCCTCTGTTGTTGCTGAACGGCGACCGCCTCCAACTCCCCAGCAGCATCCTGCATGAACTTCCTTCACAGAGGCCGATTTGACGCTGCTGGTACCAGTCATTAGCAAGGCCAATCAGCTCCATGGACCGAGCGTGGTGGCATCCTACCTGGTATGGTGTTGTCAAGCAGGAAGGCCACGCAGCCTCCCACGAACATCTCGGTGGTGAGCAGAACTGACAGCACCTGGTCCATCTCTGCCACACCTGCCAAAGCCACAAAGACAAACATCGCCCATGTAGCCTGAGAACGGTGTCGGGCCAAGTGGTGTAAGCGAGCATGGGACAGTGCCGTGGCAAGCACCACTTCTGGACGATTTTAAAAGTGTTTGTTTACACACCATACCATGTTCTCAACACCATGTCGACCTAAGAGAGGCCCAGGACCAAATCAGATATTCGCCTCCAATGTTGGCCATGGCTGGGAATCGAATTCTGGTCGCCGGGTTCGTAGCGCAGCGCACTGCAATATGCACAGAAACGCCTGCCAAAGCCCCGACACACCAACTCAATCAGGTGCACAACAAAGAGGAGGTGATGCCAAGAGTATGACATGGGTGGGTTAAGACCAGCAGGACTGTGCACACACACACACACAGATCTCTTGGGGTATTTTTAATTAGAGACACCACCACTTGATAATGTGTGGATGGATTATCCAGGGTTCGGATTAACCGTGCTTACCATTTTGTAATGAGAAAATATCTTCACACGGTGCGCTCGTTTAATTACGAGCTGCACCTCTCTGATGGTCAGCGACTCCACTGTGCTGTGGCCAAACTGGTGTGGGTCAGGCCGTGATCCAGCAGTAGATTGACAAAGGGCCTGTACAGGACTTGTGTTTTATAATAAGTCATTAATTCCCACACCTCCGATTTAGCACGGTTGCCTATGTATGACGCCACAGAAGCTCTACACACACAGATGAATTACAGTTGACCACTGAAGGAAGCGGATCGTTTTTTACAAAGAGTCGTGTGTTCATGTTCTAGTGCAACACCTATACAGCTCTGTGTAAATAATCAAATACGGCAAAGACTCACTGCCACGCACCGACACTAATTGCACGTTGCCACAGCTCCAAGTCACCACAAAACATTCCCAGAATTGCCTATAAATGGCAAAAAAAACCCCCTCCACCACATTACCCTCAACAATTCCCCTGTATGCTTTGCCGACCTCTGCGCAACGTTCAACTTAATAACGTTTCCAAGTAACATTTTAAGGGTGTAAACACATAAGAAGTAAACTAGTTAAGGGCCTATGCTCGCCATGAGAGTCTAAGGGGTCGTTTGGCCACATTGCATCACGCCGTTCGGTGCGGGGTTGGTCAAGATGGACGGCGTGGACTTGGGAGCGTACAAGCTCGGGGAAAAAAGACGACATTTGCAACGCCTCACGTTGACCACAGTCCCTGCAGCTGCCTAAGACAACCTGGCGTGCAGCAAGGTGGCCACCCATCCAAGGGCTGCTTGGCTTCCGAGAGGGGGGCGCATTAAGCCATCACAAGGGCGCCGGACAAACGACGAAAGTATTCAACGTTAGTCCATTGCAACGAGAAAAAGTACGCAGTGGGTGCCGGCAACGGCAAAGCTGCGGTTGCCGAGCATTGTTTTGGTCGTGTAAAGACGCGGGACGCCCCGCGCAGGAGGCCACGGGTGGACGCGCCTGGACTCTGGAGTGAACATCAGTTACAGAAGTTCCCCGAGCCAGATGTGTGGACCGCGGCGCGGGTGTACGCTCTCCGCACGACGTGGTTCCGACGCGCAGATGCTCGAATGTCTTCGGTTCGAGGGCCGGTGCAAACTTGGCGACTCCTCACGTGCGTGTCAGAGCAGCCATTGCGGTGCCACGGCGAGTTATGAAGCGTGCAAATATCGGTCACGCACGTTCGGGGACCTGTAGGCCGTCCGATTAGAATAATTTGCAGATGACAGCTTAGTCATGCCACGTTTCAGTTGGTTATAGTCTGGTGGTTTGTGTCCCTCCGTAGTAGCTATTTCATGGTGTCGACCTCGTTGTTCGCGGAACAGAGGCTTAACGTTGCAAACGCAAGCGAGCGTGGCACCGCAGTAGCGTGCCGCAGGCTCAGCCTGGGCGCTGCCGTGGTGGTTTAGCCGGAGCAGAGGGCCGCACACGCCGGCTCTGCCGGAGGCACGAGGCCCGCTTGGCGCGGTCCTTGCGGCCGACCGCACACTTTGTGCTGACACGCACGGTGCGATACAAAGGTAAAGAGTTTGCTTGTTCACGGCACTGCTGGCAGACGAGCCTTTGGTCTAATTTTCGATTTGAAGCTTTCGTGACTGCAAGGATTCATACTCTTAGGTTCTTTCGGTAAAGTCATGTAGCTAAAAAATAAAATTTAAAGTTAATAAAAGTAATAATGGTCTACTTTGGGCGTACCCACACGCACGTTTATATATCTGCTGGGTGGATTGAGGGTGAGGGGGTGTGGAGATTTGATCAACTTTTCCTATTTAACTGCCACACCAGGAGATGGACCTCTGGGGTGCAGGTCCAGTGCGTCGACCGTTACACCACAGAAGCTCCCTAGGTTTCTTAAATACCACTTGTTCCATAAAACCCGTGACTGGCAGCCGCTGCGATGAAGGTTTCAACGACTCGACGCTGACCGTGGTGGCGCTGCTGCTGCACCGCTCACCGGTGTGAACCATGTCCTTGTGGGCCTTGATGAAGCTGGGCAGCGCCAAGCCGAAGAAGGTGGAGAAGCCCAACACGAAGAGGTTGCGCGACGAGTTGAGGTCCACGTACTGCAGGTTGGAGAGGCCCACAGCGGTGATCATCCCTGGCAAAAGACAACGCGCGATCTCGCTTCTTACGCGCTCGCGGTTTCAACGGACAGACACGCAACCCGACACGCACAGCGCTTGTGTTGGGGATGCGTACCCACAACAACCAGGCAGCTTCCGTTCCTTTAGCCCCAGTTTGACACGTCGTCTTTAGTCCAACGATTACCTCTGGTTTCATTGGAAATCTGCCTTCGTCTGCACCTTTACAAAGGTAGACACCTATCAATTATAGATCCTTAAGAGTTGATAACTGCACCGTGATTGTACAAATATATATTCATCAATGAACCGCCAAATGTCCAGCACAAGCATGTTGTGTTAGTGGCTGTTAACAGTTGCCTTAGTAGCTCTGCTGTGTTTGGGGCCAGGCTAGCCACGTGTGTTTGTGGCTGTTGTAACGTCCATGTTAGTCCCCACGTTAGCCTCCGTCTTAGCCCCCATATTAAGCATCCGTGCTAGCCCCTGGGTTAGCGGCCACGCGTAACTGGCTGTGTAGCCCGTGTTAAGTGTCCACGTTAGGCCCATTGTCAGTGGCCATGCGTTAAGCGTCCGTGTTGGGCCTGGCGCTAGCCGGGCGTGCGCTCACAGCGTGCGTTCACGGCGTGCGTCGCTACCGAATAAAGTGCAGAAGAGGGCCCCGAGGATGGGGTCCGGCAGCGAAGCGAAGAGGGCGCTGAACTTGCCGACGAGGCCCAGCACCAGCATGATGGCGCCGCCGTACTGCACCACACGGCGGCTCCCAACCTGCGCCGCGCCAGCAGCGGTGTCAACAACGCAGCGCGGGCCCCACAGTCCCCGGGCATCGACTCGCCCGGCCCTCACCGCTCACCGGTTTGTACACGCGGCAGTGGGACTCACGGACTTACCCTGCACGCCCCCCCCCAACCCCCTCCGTCCTTCCCCGAAAGGCACACTCCCATAGGCAGGTGCCGGCTCTGGTAAATGGGACAGCGAATAACGAGCACTGGAGTGTGTCGTGGTGAGTGTAGTGGGAGCGTGTCATGGTGATTGTTACGGTGAGTGTCACGGTGAGTGGCGTGGGAGTGTTGTGGCGAGCATGCCTTGGTGATGCCCAGAACGCCGATGTTGGGGCTGGACGAGGTGGAGCCATTCCCCGTGCCGAACAGTCCGGTGATGATGCAGGCCAGACCCTCCATGAAGATTCCCCTGATGGAGGAAACACGGAACGTCAACCCCCGCCACCCTCAACCGCCGCCAGCATCAACCCTCGACCTTCTCAACCCCCTCCCCCCCCTCCCCATGCTCAACTCTAGGCAAACCAATTTTTTTCAACAACAGCGGCTGCACCGAGTGGGATGTGCAGGAGGATACGCGAGGGTCGATTGCTGAGACAGATATTGCTGGAGTCGTCTCCACGAATCGGGCGACCGAGCGGGCAATGGTGGGAGACTACGAGGGCAAATCTCGGAGTTCTCTGCGTGTCTGTCTAAGATGCAGCTGCTGCGAGAAGGGTTCAACGGCAATGAGTTGTTGTGGCAGCAGCAGCGACGGCTTTGGCCACGATCACCTCTCGATCTGGTCTTGTGGCTAAGGATTCAGCCAAGATGTAAACCTCACCCTCGCTGTATGAAATTAAAGCATCGTATGTAAAATATACAAAGCGATTTAGCACGGTTGACTACAGAAGGTGCGCGCAAGAAGTTCAACATACACGACAACCACTGTTGACTTCCCAACAACGTGGCACTCATTTTATTGATTCTGCAGGGATGACACGCAACTGAGTCAACCCCAAACCGGGAGTTGGGGGTTAACTTTGTGAACTTCCGATTGCAAACAGTTTGCTCATCTGCTGAGCCGTCTGACCTGAAACAATGCTACTTGAGCACTCCGAGTGACTGTAAAACCAGTTACTGTTGTTATTAGTCTGCGTGTTAAACAGTTCACGATACTGTAACATGATTTAATTATCCATAAAAGCTTCACTTTGTTTCAAGACTTTGCACGAGTGTCCTGCTACATCGGGGGACGCATCGCCTAGTCCTAGTGCTCGACACTTAAGTGCAGAATGAAAACACCGGAGCAATGTACCATGGTCACGCACGCTCAGGGCTTAATGGTAACCGGGTCTGTCTGGGGTAGAACTGGAACATATTTACGCACCCAGCACACCACAATCCAGCACACTGCTCGCTGTGGGCTGTGGGGTTACTGGTCACCTGCCACCTGCTCCAGTCTACCGGCAACCCTAAAAGTATCCGGTGAGAACTGAAGCCGTGGGCACACTGTACCACACCGAAAACATCAGAGGCAAACTTAGCAGAGCAGCAGTTCCTAATGCCAGCCCCGTGTGGACCAGACAATGCCCAGCACTCTAATCCCAGCTTAACCCAGAGAGACGCAGAATCCCCAAGCAGATTGACGGCGAGTCCGGCATTGAGGGGAGGGGGGCGGGGGGCAGCGAGTGAGTTGGAACGCGGTGGAGGATGGTCGTGCGCTTGCTCACCGGTTGATGGCGTGGATGGGCGGTGGCGGCGCCCCGGCGAGGCGGGCGCAGGCGTAGTAGTCCCCGATCGACTCGACGATGCTGGCGAGCATGGCACTCATCATGCCGATCACGCCGGCCGCCGTCACCGTGGGCAACCCCCACTGGCCTGCACGCACAGAGAACCCCTTCCGTGTAGCCTTAACGAACTGTAGGAGCGAGTGCTGTTAGTGAGCGGCACCTAATGAAGGCCCGAGACGAGCAAGTCGCACGCAAGGCGTGGGGGTGGTAAACACCACTCTCCCCAGTGCTGATGTTTACACACTGGACCAAGTACTCATTTAAGGCTGAGTCGACCTAGGGGAGTCACAGGACAGGTTCAGATATTAATTACCGATGTTGGTTGTGGACGGGAGCTGAACTCGGGTCGCTGGGTTTAGAACACAACGTGCGGTCACGCTACACACATCATCAGCCATGAACAATCCACACTTGGACCAAGGTACCTCCACAAAATGTCATGATTCTATAGCATAGTGCGTACGGAATCTAGAGTGTGAAGGGTACGCACAGGGATAGGGTATGCGGAACCAGGGCGCGATGGAGATGACCTCCCCGCGTGCGTCCGTGCGTGCGTGGTATCCGTATGTCGCCAGCTCGCTGGGGAATACGTTGGTCTCCGTGAGCACATAGCACAGGAGCCACGCGATCACGATCGCGATGATGATCTGCGGGGGAGGGAGGCACGGACACACGGCCCACAGGAGCGCATTCGCCACTTGCCGCAGAGGTTCACGGTTTGAATCCGGAAGGCCACCCGGGTGAATACTGCAATGCATGTTAACCGTAAATTACTACGCGCCATCTGCCTCACAGGGAACGTTAAAGATCCGGTGACGTAATTTACAAGCGTAGGACACGAGGAGGCCAGAACGGCGCGAATACCAAATGTGCCCTATTATAATTATCATTCAGGTAGTCGTGGAAACCCGCTACCGATCTACAGCTCACTCTCGATCACCCGTGGGTGGGCTATTTGGGTTGCGGAATAACCGTGCTGGCGAAGAAATCCGTGAAATGTCTTCACGCGTTCACTGCTTTATCTGCTCCCAACTCATTGAGGGTCAGCGTCCGGTGTCGCCGTGAGTATACGCGTCGGCAAGTCACCGATCACCGTGAGAAGCATGAACACAGACGACTCATTCTAAGTCTTCTCCCCCATTCTACGAAGCTATACGGTACAGACATGTATTAATCCTACTTTACTCGTGTTCTGCATTAGGTGCGTGTTGTTTTATAATCAAGAGTTGACTATAGATTTACACCACCATAAGCACTACCATGTACCCGCAAATAAAAGATAACTGATTTTTGATTCCACGCATGTACCGTTAATATATAAAAAAAAATCAATGTAACCAGATAATCATTACACCCCTGACTCACTCTTTCGAACACTCCCCACTTGGGCCTCACAGGAGCCGCGGGCGGCACTAACCGGGAACATCTTGAAGACCTGCACCCTGTAGACGGTCCACCCCTTGCCACGCTTGTAGCCCAGCAGCGGCAGGTGCACGTTACGGAAGTACTGGGAGAAGAGGATCACCAGCACGATGGTCCTGACAGACGCGCGCATGCAGCACCCAAGTCACGCGACGCACACAGGAAAACGCACCGCAAGTTAAGATAACATAGATTTGTATTTGATGGAGTGCTCTTCACACATGGGTGTTGTCTAGCAGCGCTTTAGACACGATCAGTGACTTAGGTCACCTCTCATGTGACATTTGAAAGGGCACCCCCAGTGGCAGCTCTCCCCGTGTGGCACCAGGTGACTCAGCACGTGACTTGTGAATGGGCATTAGTCTGCCAGTTGGGGACAACGATTATGTGAGCAACCCCAATTGAGTAATTTGCGGGTAATTTTTTCGAATTGGTAAAAATTTGGACCAAGACGCCGACACACAATACCCTACTCGTTTAGAATTTCGTCCAGGTTTTTTACCGTCGAGTGTCCAGCAGATGGCGTGCGGAATTTACAAGTTAACACACACCGCAGTATTAACCAGGAAGGCCTGCCGGAATCGAACCTCAACGTCTGCAAAACCGCCGGGCCAATATGACGTTACACACTGAAAGTAAACGTAACTTAGACAGTGGCCCTCCAAGGGGCAGGGCACGGGAGGCAGGCACAGGCGGCACGCACCGCGGGGCGGTCATCACCGGCGGCGACTCACAGCATGGCGATGCCCCAGTGCTTGCCGGCACGCTCCCCGGCTGCCGGGAATACGGAGAGGCCGATGAGCGACACGGTGGGAGCCACAGTCAGCGGGCCGATGTAGGCGAGCAGCACGCCCGGGACCCCCAGCAGCCCGATCACCACCTCCACCAGGCACGACACGATGATGGCGCCCTGGATCTTCCGAACGCAACCGAGACACCACCACAAAATCGTCATCACCATCGCCGGTACTGCCACCGAGACACAGACCCAATCAGCCCTTCCTTTTGACTACAAACAGAAAGAACAGAGGTAGAGTCACAGCACATACAGAGGCCAGAGAGGTAGTGCCCTCTCAACGTGCTGTGAAGGGCCACTGCCCAAAGCATCACCTCTTCTATACTTTTTACTGATGAGCTCTAATAAGTTTTAGCGTTTCTTTGGCGAACAGTAATGTGCATGTTCAAGTGCAGCTTCCTGCTAAGGGCCTTGGAGAGTCCTCCGTTGGGCCCTCACTCAGGGACCGCTTCTCCCAACCTGCTGAAAAAAAACGATCACCTACTGTGTTCTGGGCCATCCAACACGAGTTCAAAACTCCATTAGTAACACAAATGCAGGACAGACCCTCCTAGCCTGTCCTGCGTTCATCATGGAAGAACAAGGAGTGATCGACTGCAATTGATCTGACAAGTTGAGAAGGGCTGAGCCTTGTGCCTTAAAGGGTGACGGTCAAGAGCTTGGCAGATGTTGCAGGTGTGAGGCTGGCCAGGAGATGGCAGGAAAGCACTGGGCTCAGTTCACACAATAATTTAATTGACAGTATTTATGTATTAAATCCACCTGTGCGGAGCATTGAGTGTCACCCCCTTATATTGAGAATATGTAGATTATGTTGCTGCTAGTAATGTCCAAATGATAAGCCACTTTGTTGAGCGATCACTTGTGTGGCCAGGTCGCTTCGGAAAAGTAAGCTAATACCTCGGTCGGCTGTGCTTAGTCAGATGGGGATGTATGAAAAATAATAATCGGTTTTACCCTTTCTGGCAATAAAACAGGTGCTAAGATGTTGAAACACCAACTAGAGACCTTTTTCAAGGAATCATGTCTGCATTAATCACACGTACTGGTGGTGAACATGCAAACAAAAAATGCTCTGATAATATATCGATTGTCCTTGAAACTGATTGGTCTACACCAGAGACAACATTCTTTAGGGCCTAGTCTCACCAGTGTAGACCAGAGAAGGCCAAAGGGCGAATACTACACAGAAAAGGCACGCATCAGTGCATTTATAGCTGGCCCAGTAATGTTTCATAACAGAAGCAAGCAAGCAGTCGCGTTTGACCATCGCCTGTTGTGCAACACGCCTACAGTCTAACAAAGGTGTGCGTGGGGAAAGTCGTATATTTTATTTTGGCTCAGCGCTTAAAACATTCCAAAAAAAATCCTCCCATTTTTATTGAACGTTGGCACCATGGTAACTCTCGTGCCTCATAGCAATAAGCACCTGGCTTCCATTCACATATACGGCGCTTTTCTCTGCGGAGTTGATCGTTTCTCCTCCCGTTCCGTATGGGTTTCCTCGGGGTTCTCCAGTTTCCTCCAATAGGAACCCCCCCCCCCTCCATAGAATGTAACCTGTATTGGCCAAACATCCCCATGCTGAAAGATTACTCAAATGGGATTTACACAGGAGCAGCTGCGTCCCCCCTGCCCCCCTTTCTACAAAACACGGCAGTACTCTTCTGAATAACGGTCTTCCTGGGTAAACAAGAGCAATACAAAAATTGATGAAATTTAATTTAAAATATTGTGAAAAGGGGTCAATAGGGTGCAGGCTTGCGAGCAATAGCCCACGGAAGTCATTGCGGTCAATAAAAGCTTGAGAGCCAGACCAGCTGCCCGAGGCTCTTCACAGTGGGGCCCCTTCTCACCATTCCGCCAAACTTTTAAAAGATCAACCACCTTCTGCAGGTGTGTTATTTCAGAAAGGTTCACTCCCTTAGTAAAAGCCTGTGTCTGGAGAGCGAATGTCATTACTGATGTAGGTCTGGTTCGGAACGTAAACCTCTTAATGCAGGTGGCTCAGACTGGCAAACTAAAATCTCATGCGGTCGAAATCCGGACTTAAACCCAGGCTTCTCAGCATTGCTGGCTCAGTACTCCGACCTTTGAGCCACTCGGCCACATATTATTGCTTAACTGCACAGAAAATATCTTCACAATGTATTTTTAGGCTTGTTGTTTTCATAACCGGTTTACTGTGTCACTGTCCTCAAGTAAACTAATGTCTTCTGTCAAAAACTTCTGTTCTCAATGGGCCCTTACCTGGTTGTAAACATTTACAACCGCTCAATATTATTTTACGTTAACGATTTTGTCAAACCTGTAGAATTCAAGGTAGAATTAAAATGGTTTGATTTTCATTAATGTACATGGGCTTACTCATCGAATAAATATCTATGTTCACAAATATAAATGAATTAATGCATCACAAAACCCTAATGACACCCACGGTGACACTCAACACCAACGAGGCACGACCGCCTCGGGCAGTGGCAGGCCTGTCCCGGCCTGCTCGCCCTGTCCCGGCCTTCTCGCCCTGCCCCGGCCTTCTCGCCCTGTCCCGGCCTGCTCGCCCTGTCCCGGCCGCGCGTCCCGGTGAGGAGGTCAGGACGGGACCGGCCGGTGTGGTCGTACCTCGCGCATGCGCGGATGCCAAATCTCGGACGTGTCCAGCGGCTGCGTGGTGCTGTTCGCAAACATGGCGTCTGGGAGGAGAGACAGACGAGCAGAAGGGCGGCGCGTTAACGCGGCTCACGCGCAGGTGGGGAACGTGAACCAGGAGCCAGTTGTTACACTCCACACAGATGTGTTATGAAAAAACGTCGTCTTTCTAACGTCGTTGGAAATGAGAAGGCCATTCTGTGCCGGCGCCAAGGTCTAGAAAACATGACACCACAAATTGCTCAACTGGGATTACACACAACACTCGTCGTCACCCCCAACCAGCGGACTAAGTGCGAACTTGCAGACTGTGTGCCGAGTCGCCTTGTGCCGCAAAAAGACAGCTGCCATTGGAGGTGCCCTTTCAAATGTGTTGAGGTGCGATGCAAGCCACTTATTACTTGCCAATAGATCTCAAATGATGAGATGAAGGATCACCTGGTGGCCAGGATATAGCAGTACAGCAAGTGGGTTCATGAACCCATCTATGTGGAAGCTTGGGCGTTATCTCCCTCCTATAATCGGGTGGAGTTGCTCCGGGTTTTCTCGTTTCTTCTCACAAGTAGCCAAACTCCCATTCACGGAATTGGCCTAGCATCCTAATGTAGCAGGACCCTCCTGAGACAAGAGTCTTGAGACTCGTGGATATCCAATAAATGACTGTCTTGACGCAAGTGAGGAGCGGTGTGACCGGTGCTCCCGTGTCCTGTGTGCAAGGCAAGGAGCTGTGCGTGCGTGGGGCACCTGTGTCCGGACACTTCCACTTGTCCAGCGAGAGGATCGCCTGCGCTGGCGCCAAGAAGGCGAAGGCGCTCGCCTGGAACAGCGGCAGCCTGCGCAGCGAGCGGCAGCACACGCGAGTGAGCGACGCAGCCCTCCTCCCCAACCCAGCTCTCCCCTTGCCACAACCCGTGTTCTCCCTTGCCACGTCAGCATGGTTGGGACCTTGTCCTCACCGCGGAACGAATCGGGCTGTCAAACACGCTAGTGGAGAGCTACGCTGGTGGATAATGCTGCAAGTGGCTTGTAATGTGCAGCACTGTCGAGGCAGCGAGGGTTGGTGGTGCACAGACTCTCGGATTGCTAGGGTGTTATGACAGTACAGCAAGTGGGTTACTTACCATCAATATGAGGATTTACTGTTACCCCTTCCCCTCACATGTGTGGGTTTTCCTCTGGGTACTCTGGTTTCCTTCCACAAGTGTAAACACTCGGAAATGGAGTTGCCCAAACATCTCGATATAGGACCTCAGAGCTTGGGCAATCGTTGGTAGCACCGGTTCTGGCGCCCTTCACACTTATCTGTGCTTCCCCACGCCTCTGAGTCGAACAAAAACCGTGTGCATTCATCATTATGAACAAACCCCATGATAATATAATTCCACTCGCCTTACTGAGCACGCTCCAATTTGCAATGCAGTGTTGTTGCTAAAGTATAGTATATTGCCCTCTTGCACCTGCTTAGTGGGAACACGTGGGGCTCCCGACCACGAGGCCGCGTGCCTTTGCTTTGTGCCAGTTTAACGGAAGCTCATTCCTGAGCTTCCGTTTATGCCAGTTTCCTCTTTTTCTCTCCAATTTTTAGGGCTGCCCAGAAAAACCTCGTTATGTTAGGGACACGTTATATCTGCTCGCGGTATTGCGAGGACACCCGACAATACACCGCACTGGAGGAAGAGCATCTACCAGCCACCGCACCACTATTACTCGTGGAATTACTCCAATTTGGCCGCCTAGCAGCGTGGCCTAGTTATCCCTGACACCCAACGCTCGCTGAGCCAAGAGCTGAGAAAGTAATACGCTTTGCAGCACAAAGGTACATTTAATAGCAAGGGATTAGGTCAGGGCTTTCACAGGGATTATCCGCTGGGGTACCTTACATCCAGAGCACACTTCTTGGGCACCCAGAAAAGAAGACAACGGGCCGCACTGCGCAACTCTCGACCGGGGACGCACGAGCAGCATCATGTATGTGAGGTCGCCGACATTGAGCCACTCTAAATTGCGAGTCGCCGTGGCTCCTGAGCGTCGCTATCGATTACCAGGGCCGCCGCGAACGTCGGTGGCGAGTGACATCTGAACCGGTCCAGCGCCTTTCACCCCCCCCCCCCCCTCGTAACAACCCCCATGGCTGACACGGTGCGAGGAGTTTGGATTTCCTATTGCACAGCTATCCATGCTCTCAACTCCCTGCCCTTGTTCAAGTCCAAGCTCAGGACAGTTTCCTCTGTTCGCTGCATCTCTATAAAATGAAAATGATTTTCTTTCTGTGCAGCATCCTGAGGTGCAGCCTCGTTTAGAAGCTATATGAATGCAAGTGTACTGTCATGTATTTTAAACGCAGTTTCTGAGCACATATGAGGACGGTTAAGAAGGGCTTGAGAAAACTAGACAATGGGAGGGAATTCCAAAGTTTTTCAGTCCGAGGAAAGAAAGAAAGGAAGAGAGAGAGAAGTGTTATGACCTGCAGTGTGGTGGATTGAGTGGCTGAGTGAGTGGCTGAGTGAGTGGGAGAGCGAGTGGGTAGTCGAGTCAGTGTGTTGCTGTAACACATGCAGTGTGGTGAATGGAGTGGCTGAGTGAGTGGGCGAGCGAGTGGGTGGTCGAGTCAGTGTGTTGCTGTAACACATGCAGTGTGGTGAATGGAGTGGCTGAGTGAGTGGGCGAGCGAGTGGGTGGTCGAGTCAGTGTGTTGCTGTAACACATGCAGTGTGGTGAATGGAGTGGTTGAGTGAGTGGGCGAGCGAGTGGGTGGTCGAGTCAGTGTGTTGCTGTAACACATGCAGTGTGGTGAATGGAGTGGCTGAGTGAGTGGGCGAGCGAGTGGATGGTCAAGTCAGTGTGTTGCTGTAACACATGCAGTGTGGTGGATGGAGTGGCTGAGTGAGTGGGCGAGCGAGTGGGTGGTCGAGTCAGTGTGTTGCTGTAACACATGCAGTGTGGTGAATGGAGTGGCTGAGTGAGTGGGCGAGCGAGTGGGTGGTCGAGTCAGTGTGTTGCTGTAACACATGCAGTGTGGTGGATGGAGTGGCTGAGTGAGTGGGCGAGCGAGTGGGTGGTCAAGTCAGTGTGTTGCTGTAACACATGCAGTGTGGTGGATGGAGTGGTTGAGTGAGTGGGCGAGCGAGTGGGTGGTCGAGTCAGTGTGTTGCTGTAACACATGCAGTGTGGTGAATGGAGTGGCTGAGTGAGTGGGCGAGCGAGTGGGTGGCAGAGTCAGTGTGTTGCTGTAACACATGCAGTGTGGTGAATGGAGTGGCTGAGTGAGTGGGCGAGCGAGTGGGTGGTCGAGTCAGTGTGTTGCTGTAACACATGCAGTGTGGTGGATTGAGTGGCTGAGTGAGTGGGCGAGCGAGTGGGTGGTCGAGTCAGTGTGTTGCTGTAACACATGCAGTGTGGTGGATTGAGTGGCTGAGTGAGTGGGCGAGCGAGTGGGTGGTCGAGTCAGTGTGTTGCTGTAACACATGCAGTGTGGTGAATGGAGTGGCTGAGTGAGTGGGCGAGCGAGTGGGTGGCAGTCAGTGTGTTGCTGTAACACATGCAGTGTGGTGGATTGAGTGGCTGAGTGAGTGGGCGAGCGAGTGGGTGGTCGAGTCAGTGTGTTGCTGTAACACATGCAGTGTGGTGGATTGAGTGGCTGAGTGAGTGGGCGAGCGAGTGGGTGGTCGAGTCAGTGTGTTGCTGTAACACATGCAGTGTGGTGAATGGAGTGGCTGAGTGAGTGGGCGAGCGAGTGGGTGGTCGAGTCAGTGTGTTGCTGTAACACATGCAGTGTGGTGGATGGAGTGGCTGAGTGAGTGGGCGAGCGAGTGGGTGGTCGAGTCAGTGTGTTGCTGTAACACATGCAGTGTGGTGGATGGAGTGGTTGAGTGAGTGGGCGAGCGAGTGGGTGGTCGAGTCAGTGTGTTGCTGTAACACATGCAGTGTGGTGAATGGAGTGGCTGAGTGAGTGGGCGAGCGAGTGGGTGGTCGAGTCAGTGTGTTGCTGTAACACATGCAGTGTGGTGGATGGAGTGGCTGAGTGAGTGGGCGAGCGAGTGGGTGGTCGAGTCAGTGTGTTGCTGTAACACATGCAGTGTGGTGGATGGAGTGGTTGAGTGAGTGGGCGAGCAAGTGGGTGGTCGAGTCAGTGTGTTGCTGTAACACATGCAGTGTGGTGGATTGAGTGGCTGAGTGAGTGGGCGAGCGAGTGGGTGGCAGAGTCAGTGTGTTGCTGTAACACATGCAGTGTGGTGAATGCAGTGGCTGAGTGAGTGGGCGAGCGAGTGGGTGGCAGTCAGTGTGTTGCTGTAACACATGCAGTGTGGTGGATTGAGTGGCTGAGTGAGTGGGCGAGCGAGTGGGTGGTCGAGTCAGTGTGTTGCTGTAACACATGCAGTGTGGTGAATGGAGTGGCTGAGTGAGTGGGCGAGCGAGTGGGTGGTCGAGTCAGTGTGTTGCTGCAACACATGCAGTGTGGTGGATGGAGTGGTTGAGTGAGTGGGCGAGCGAGTGGGTGGCTGAGTCAGTGTGTTGCTGTAACACATGCAGTGTGGTGAATGGAGTGGCTGAGTGAGTGGGCGAGCGAGTGGGTGGCAGTCAGTGTGTTGCTGTAACACATGCAGTGTGGTGGATTGAGTGGCTGAGTGAGTGGGCGAGCGAGTGGGTGGCAGAGTCAGTGTGTTGCTGTAACACATGCAGTGTGGTGAATGGAGTGGCTGAGTGAGTGGGCGAGCGAGTGGGTGGCAGTCAGTGTGTTGCTGTAACACATGCAGTGTGGTGGATTGAGTGGCTGAGTGAGTGGGCGAGCGAGTGGGTGGCAGAGTCAGTGTGTTGCTGTAACACATACAGTGTGGTGAATGGAGTGGCTGAGTGAGCGGGCGAGCGAGTGGGTGGTCGAGTCAGTGTGTTGCTGTAACACATGCAGTGTGGTGGATGGAGTGGTTGAGTGAGTGGGCGAGCGAGTGGGTGGCAGAGTCAGTGTGTTGCTGTAACACATGCAGTGTGGTGGCTGAACACAGCATAGACGAGATGAAACAATCCAGGAGAGCGAGTCCTACGTTGCACTGTATCACAGAGGGGTTGCAACGAACCACAGAGGAGGGCCTGGCGGGCGGGCGGGAGGGGGGGGCGGCGACAGTAAAGAAGGACCGGGTTTAGACGTCTCTCACCGGCATCCGAAGACGGTCTGCAGCGTGGTGGTGATGCCCACGCAGAAGAAGATGGTGCCAATGAGCTGGCTGATGGCGTACTGGTCGAAGCCCACGCACAGCGCGTCGGCCAGCAAGAACGGCACCGCGATGGTGCCGCTGAAGCAGGTAAGGTAGTGCTGGTGGAGGAGGGGGCGAGGAGGAGACGGCGTCGTCAACCAGGGTGCGTACCGGTGGCTCGAGGGACGCACGCACGTTTTCGAAGGGTTCATGGAATCGCGAGTTGTACTTTGGGGCGGTGACGTGGCCCGGCAGGAGCACGTTCGGCCACTCGCTGCAGAGGTTTGCCATTCGAATCCAGTGAGCAGTCCCCTGGTTATTAACGCGAATAGCTTCACCGTAGCAATATGGGCCTCGGTTTCGCAGTGGATGTTAAAGATCTCCCAATGTCATTCGAAACAAGCAATGGTCGCCGCTCTCCAGACTCGGGGATGGTAAGGGGGGGGGGGGCCTCTCGCTTGGGAGCTTTGACAAGAGGGGACCCCTCGGGGTTGGCGCCGGAGGGTGGATGCCGCCACCACGCGCCATTACAGCCTGCGCTCCTACACTTGAATTGACCCCGACTTAAAAATCCTGAGAGTGCTGTTGTCTGCCTTTCTGAGCCTCGGGCATCAACAATGAACCCTCACGAGCCGAGGAAGTGCTTTAGTCCGCTCTCTGCCGTCTCGGCAAACGCTCGCGACAGCTGACGGTCGTGGGTGGCTGCACGGGCGCAGGGAAGAGGCGGTACCTGGAAGCCGAGGAGGATGCACAGGTACCACGGCGGCACATCCTCGATCGTGTAAATCATGTCGTAGGGGCGGCGCTGCGGGGTGGCCGACTCCGGTGCGTGCGGCTCCAGTCCCAACAGCGAGCGCTGCCGGCCACACCGTGCCATCACCATCACCACGACAACCGCAACACACACAGTTACCATCACGGTTTAACTCGAATCGCTGGGTTTGCAGCACAGTGTGCCAACCACCGTGCCACCACTCCCCACATACACACACACGTGCGCGCATTCATTCCCAATCACAATCATCATCCTCATCAACCATGAACACTGTTAGACACACACAGCCTCACCCTGGCTTCTCCATTTTGCTTATTGATAGTTCCCACCAACACGGACACTTCCTCCTCCTCCTCTGTGCCTGGCACGGACCCGTTCGTGAGCACCTGTGACACAGCAAGGGATCACACACACAAGTTAGGCGCCTATGCCCCGCCCGCATAGAAGATAGTTTATCCCGACACAGAGGAGGTCTTCAAAATCACGTGGTCAGAGACAGCGCTGGTTTTTGGGGAACCCCTAAACATTGGATAAAAAAAGATCAGCAGTGCCACCCCTCTTGCATGCTCTGGCCTTCTCCTCCAAGATGTCAAAGTTTGTCTGAGACAGCCGAGGTTTCGTGGACGTCTCTCTGACCACCGTCTCATCCGCAGCCCTTCTGACGGCGTCTCAGATATGGCGCTCTCCAAACTTGTCCAGGATTGTGCCGACATCTCCCCGGTGTTTCTCAAGTTGTGGCGAGTATCTCCGGGAGTTGGGAGGAGGGGGGCTCTTTAAATAACCTTGCTCAAAATCACGTCTCTTATACCTTTGATAGTACTCATCCCTAAGAGGCTTTTGGGGTTAGATCGCGTAATTATAAATTCGTTGTAAAACCCGCCAACACCCGACACAGCCAATTAGTAAGGTTTGTCACGTAAACAGAACGTGCCAATTCGTGACTGGTTCAGCACACCGCTTGTGTGTTGGAGAGTGAACCCACAACATTCACAGTTCGAGTACCGTGACGTTTCGCCGCAAATTACAACCAGCCTCATCAGGGGACAGCCTCATCAGTTCTGGTGAAATCCTCCTGTTTCGGCCTTAAATGGAGGGATACATTTGATGTCGTCACTTGTGAGCCAATCAGGTGCGAAGACCAGAGGGGGGAGGGGGTGCATGTGTTCATATAAAGTACAATGGATATCCATGACCGGTTGGGTTGTTTTCATAGGGTGGTGGCGTGTTTAACGACACATTTTTACTTACGCAATCTAACCCAAAAACCTCTATTATGGATATTGGTCATGAAAGCCTACGTGTTAAACTTTTATAGTGCTGTTTGTGGCTGACCGCTTGATGTGTTGAGCCCTTTTGCCTGTATAGAGACCGAGTTAGGTTCCAGGTCTGTTCATAAGTCGATTTGTTTGTAAGTCCAACTTTACTCAGGTCGATTCCAAACATGTTGTGCGGCATGTACACTAGCTGGCTTTCAAAGTTGTATGACGTTCTGCAGATGTAGATGCCACCACCGCCATCTCTTGCGCGGTGGTTGACTCTCGGTCCGAAACAGGCAACTGGACATACGGACAAGTTCGTTCACGTCTCTGAAAATCCGTAAGTTGAATATTTGTAAGTATAAGAGTCCCTGTACGTAGCAACTATGTTTCAACTTAATAAAGAACTGACCGTACACAAACGTCACACAAGCCGCAGCACACCGACGTGCCATTCAATTTTGCCGTGCAAAATAAGGCGCGGCAAAAACTTGGCAAAATCTTACAACAGGATTCATTTGACTGCTCCAATTTATGAATGGCAACCTAGTGAACATATTATTTGTGCCAAACATTACTTCCCTTCAGAACATTGCCGCAGGCTGTTCTTTGAAATTAATATGAATCTGACATTACTCCAAACATGGAACGCATGCAAAATGTATGGCCATCATTATATTTCACCCGCTCTCATGGCAATAAAAAAAAAACCCATGCCAGATGATTGTTTGTTCTCATGTTGTGCCCTTGCCCGGTCTCACGCTGCCATGATGTCATCCCGTACACAGCTCCATGTGACAAACACACCGCGTGCCTTGCAGAGCACAAACAGCTCGCAACATGTCGCGTGTTCGTTACCCGTGGCCAATTCTTCGGTTTTCTTTTGAAGCCACAACTATTTACGACTTGTACGCACAAACACACACGCGGATAGATCTCTCAACGTGCCGATGTCACCCGCACTCCGCCCCATTTCATCAGATCTCAGAAGCTAAGCAGGTCTGAGCCTGGATAATGCTCGGACGGGTGACCATCTTGCAGAAAACTGGTGATGGAGGTCGTGGGCAACATACGGCAGCAGAAAATAATGCATGTTGTTGTACTGTAATTCTATGTCCTCTAGTCTATGATAACCATCTTTACCAAAACGCACTGACCCATGTCGTGAAGTATGGTCAAATAACCCCACATATGAAGACGTGTGTAACATAGTGTCATAATTAGGGCTACTACTATTCCGTCAGGGTAATTCAGTAAATATACAGAAAGTCACGGAATCAGAAGTAGTACCCGACTAAAACATTATATTATATTTGTAGATATATTTAAAAAAAGCTCAAACAACCATTTTGAAATCTAACGTATCTTATTTCTATGGCCAATGCCAAGATTTTACGCGGCATTGTATTCAAATTCCAAATTTTCGTGGCCACTGTGATCCCGGTTATGATACAGCGAGATCTGTGCCAGTGTGGCAGGGCTGGGAGAAGGCCAAAGATCCCTTATCATTATTAATAATAATGTAAATTCAAATTGTAACACGGCGCACAATGTACGAACCACAGACAAGCAAGAAGGCAGCCATGCAATGAGCCAGCATCAACAACCGTCCAAGCTCTGCACTCCTCCATATATTGAGGTGTTCGCCGCCAATTAATGAGCGTTTAACATGTCAGAGGAAACCAGAGTACCCAGAAAAAACCCACGCATGCGAGGGGAAAAACACTATCCCAATCAGACGGAACAGATGGAAGCACACATTTTTGCTGTCATTGCCTTCTCCGCGGCGTTGGATCACGAGCGTGCGCCGCCACCTCCCTGGGGTTTTATGAACTGAAACATCACCTTATGGGACGTCAACTGTGGTGTCTCAGTGCACACTTCTCACCGCGTATCCCTCTGCTCATGCCCCAAACCCCTGGAATTCCCTCGCTTCATTAGACGTCCCCGTTTCCTCTCCCAGCTCAATTGCAACCGGACGCGGAGCTGTCGATTCTTTGCGAAAGCTTCCCTTGCAGATGTATTTGACGTCATAGACCCTTTGTCTGTTAACGTACGAGGGCAATAATTACCCTGAACCGAATATGATGCTCTCATTTACTTTTACTATGAATGTTTTTTTTTAAAGAATCATTCGTAGAAGCCAGCTTTAATGAACAAACTTATTTTTGTTCGTAAAAAAAAACTTTTTATTATTAATTTGTCATGCCGTTGTTCTACGTCCGATTTTTCGTCACTTAATTTTTGTACTTCGTTTTTATTTACACTTATGTCATTTTGGTGACGAAGGTCACATTTGCAAATGAGACTCACCCTGCTCTGTTGAGGTCACACAGGGTTAAACTAAATACACAGGAACACATGACTCGCCCCCATCACAGATATGTAGAAACCCCTCCATGCTTGTTTGAGCTAGAAACCACTTGAAACATTTCAGCGTTTCAAATGTCAAAACATATTACAAGAACGGCCAACTGAAAATATATTTCGTTTCGTAGATAACCAAGTTTTTAGTTTCCATATATAGTCTGTCCCCCTGCTTTTACGATGCAATGCGTTCCTGGAAACCCCGCCGTTGTAAATCGGATCATTATAAAATCGGACTTTCTCATAAACAGAACATCACTTGCCGATGTGTTTTTTCACTTTAACCAGCGATATTTAACAGGGAAAAATAGGTAAAGATGAACGAAAAACACTCAAGAATAACACAAGCTCCACGCCAAGCCACATCGGGAAACACTAGACTGACTCCTATCAAATGTGTTTGGAGTAGTGTCGGAAGATGTGTCGCAAACCAATTTTCTGCATCGTAAATCATCCACGGTGGCATGATACAAACATTGTAAATGTGGATCGTTGTAAATCGGACTGTCTTAAGATGGAGCCGCCCATATAATTTTTGCCCCAAACCACACGCGCACATGACACTGACGTGTAGAACCATGTTCCACGCACCCTAAGGGCAGCACCAATTTGCGGCACTCCCGCACATTTTGTACTCAAGCCGTGCCCGGACCCAACCTTACAGAGCCACAGACTGATGTCACCTTGGCATCCCCGTTCTCCTGGGCCAGGGGCACCATGGGTAGGCAGTCGCCGCCGTCGCCGTCTGCCGAGAGAGCAGCGCCGTTCTTTTGCCCGGCGGGTGTCTGCACAACAATAACGAGGGGAGGGTGGGGAGGTAGGAGGGGAGGGTGGGGAGGTAGGAGTGGAGGGAGAGGCATTTTCATGCTGTTATTTAGCTCCTTTACCCAGGAAAGCTCATGACTTTTTTTCAGGAGGGTTCTGCCACATTTTCACAGTCGGGACGATGTTGCTGCTGCTGTGTAATCACGATCAAGTAATTCACAGGAAAAAAAATTTGCACTGTGATTTTTGGCCTGCGCAGTGCGACTCACGACCTCCTCTTGATACCAAGATCCAGGATGGTCACGTCTATGCGCCGCTTCTCGGTGGCAGCCCCAACAGTCTGGAACGCCATCACCCCTCTGCACATTCGCAGCATCACCTCAATCGCCTCCTTCAAGAGAGACTTAAGAACTCACCTCTACAACCACGCTTTCGAGCGACTCTGAGCTTGGCTCCGCGCCTCTGAGTTGCGGCCATTACGTCCGCAAATTTGCGCGCGTTATAAATTGCATTATTATTAATACCAAGAACATTGTATGTTTTTTAGCTATGGGAGGGAACCGAATAACTTAAAAGAAGGCTTTGCAGAACAGGGGGAGAAACACCGACTGTCCACAGAAGGGCACCAGAGTCAGAAATCGCATGAGCTGTCCGTCTTGCTTCTTCAACGCTCTCTGCGCTGCACGTCTCATTAGTACTACAGAACTGTGGGCCTCGTTTGTGTTTGTCGTCTCGCGTGCCGCAACGCCTTTCGTTCGTTGTCCCCCATTTGTACGACTCCGTTAGCTCCACAACCGTGACCGCGTCCTTTCACGCGTGGATCATCGACTGTCACAATCACGAGTCAACGCACGCGTTCCCCACGCGCCCGAGTCCGTTTCACTCGAAAAATCCACGCCGACCAGCAGCCGCGAGGACAACGGGCCATGCCCACCCATGGAGTTTCCCGCGTTTGTCAAAGTAACAATTGAATTTGCGATAATACTGGACCTGACGCTGCGGTGTAATGGTTATTACGCCGCACTTGCAACCCAGCGGGTTCTAATCCATCTCCCTGCAATGCAGTTGAAACATCGATGCGTGTTTCTTAAATCCCCCCCTCCCCCGCCACCTCTGTCCACCCAGCACAGTCGATCTGCAGGTGGAGTGTGGTGGGGTAAAGTGTGGGCACTCCCTCCTTTTACAACACGTCTGGTCAGCGTGGAAGAGTAGACCAAATACCCTCCAGAGCTCCCTCTAGCGGAGGCCCTTCCGCCGACAGTGGCGCGAGTGCGCAATTGCAGGGCTGCGCCTTTACGTTCCAAGCCACGCAACCAGATGATGTCACACACAGTGCTGGTGCTTTTATCGGCACATTTTGGCAATAAACCTTTGATCAATGTGGCCGGATTTCTCGAGTCAGTTTATTGGAGCAACACAGCTTGATACTCGAATGCTGTCCATATTGTACCAGGTCTACAACAGCCGTTACAGAAATGTGCGCGGACAGCGCAAATGCATTTTACACTTTTAACCTTCGTTGTAAAGTTTGAAAACAAAAAACATCGCATATCAGAAAAACTGGCTCGGATAGCCCCCCCCCCACCAGGCGCCGTAAACCCATGGGCAGCCCCCCCCCCCCCACCATGCATCTCACGGCAGCGGTGGGTTGGGGGGGCGGGCACGCAGGCAGAGGGGGAGCATTGTACAGGACAATAACGCCACTGTGTTTTGCTGACAAACACTGCGCCACCCCTCACTGATCCTATTACGGGTCACATGGTTTTCTTTAATGAAAAGCACCCGTAAAAAAATAATCAGAGAAAGAAATTAAAACGCAACTTCGTTTTGCACCGCGTGCCAGTGCTGGTGGCGCGATGTTGATGCACGACCTTGCCGTCTGCAATCTGCCCATGATGTACAGTTGTTTGTGGATTGGGTTTGTTCGTGTCTTTTGCTGTAAATGGGTTACCAAGGTGCTAACCAGGTCCCCACTGAAAATGAGGATGTATTGCCCAATGGGTTTTACCTGCGCTGAAAACCAATAAAACCCAATAACTGCGCTTGTGGTATGGTTCGGGCATTTTACCATTTCTCATTCACACTGAGACATTCAAAATTCCCAAGGTGCGAAGCATAGCCCTTCGTCCCTGGACTGCTAGATGGGGGCCTCCCCACGACGAGCGTGACGTGGTGATTATTTGGCAACACTTGCAAACGTACAAAATAATCGATCGTCACATGCGCGATTCATTGCCGTGTATCACGAGCGCAAGAATCAAGGTAAATCAATTCATCACAATCCTAAAGCACAGCAAGCGGTCCTTTTACGTTCCACAGGAAAACGCAATCAGAGAGCAGCGAGCGGAACTGAGTACACAGATTTCTTCCTCAAAACCCCAATGTAAAACATCTCATGATCATGGGGCGGCCGAGTGGCTCAGCGATAACACTTGTGCCTCACCACATGAAACGCTTGGGTTCAACTCGTGACTCGGGAAGCTGTGTGGAATTTGTGAGTTGTCACCCTGTCGCCCTGCATGAGTTTCCTCAAGAGTTTTCCGGTTCCCTTCCCTACCTAAACAAGCATGTGCACCATAGTTGTATTGGACAAACATTCCAATGCTGAAAATATGACCTGTAAATTACTCATTTGGGATTACAAACAGCAACGTCGCCCTCCAACTGCTACATAATTTGCAGGACCCTCCTGAAAAAGGTCTAGAGACTCAATGAGGCTTTCTTGGGTAAACAAGCGATATAATAACAATAATCATCATCATCATCATGAGCCGTGATTAATCTATTGGCTGGCTACAAACTCGATTAGACGCGAATTAATGCACCGGTTAGCACGTGCCGACTTACAAACCGCACAGCGGCTCATGCACACATGCTCTCGTTTGTCAATTCAAAGGCGAGGGCACAACCCTTCCACTGCTCGCTCACGCCACTGCTGGCAGAAGGGCCTCTGAGGAAGGATGGACGAGAGGAGTGGCTCTTAACCTGGGGTGCGAGATGCCCTTCCTGGGAGTGTGAGACACGGACAGATTTCTTTTAAAAGGTAATTAATCAAAATACAAATTCAGCACAGGCATATAAGTACAACTATTTTGTTTAATCAAACCTGTGTGTTTATTAACATAGTAACACATTTTAACGAGTGAGAATGAAAGGGGTGCAAGGCTGCAGTAAAGGTTAAGAACCATTGCTCTCGAGGGAATTTGGTGTACTCTTACTGGCTGGCCATATGCCTTGGAAGAGGTAGGCACAACCCAGTTTACCCCACCACGTACGACCCACTGATCGACTGTTGAGAACCCATTTGAATAGCTGCTGGGTGAAAACAGGCAGTGGGGGGGGGGGGGGGGTAGGTTTTAAGAATCTTGCACCATCATTTCAACTGTCGTGCCGAGAGATGGAGTCCAACCGATGCCCTCTGGGTTGCAAGTCCAGTGTGCCGACAACCAAAACGCAGTTTTAAAAAAGTCTCACATTCACCACTCGCGTGTGGCAAACCGGTCACATTTTTCTGCACGCGGCTACTGATAACGCAACAAAAACAACCCCAACATACACGTAGACACACGTGCGCACTCGGCTAAAGACACGCACGCATTCAATACACCGGAAGCAATGAGCGATGGCGCCGTGCCCATGCGGACGCTCACCGCTCATGACATCTGCCGACACCCAACTAGCCACGAGCACTTAGACGTGACTCGCTCGCTTGACATTTGCCGGTTACACCGACGCTGTCGGACAGTCACAATCGTTTTACGCGTGCGTGCACTTCCTATTCCCACGCGCACGCGTGCACCTGCCATCTGTGTGCACAGAAGCTGCCCACCTGCTACACCCCCATTACCAAAAATAGCAGCTCTTTTTTCCGCATGACCACGGCATACGCACACAATGTGCATGCAACAGCACCCCGTTCGTTCGGTTTGCCGCGCGTTTAAATATTCAATACCGGTAACGTATCTCGATGCCGTGGCGTGCCGCGCACCGTGTAGATGGACTTCTGTCGGGGAGCAATCTACGAGAGCGGCGCTCTTTGGCCGCGCGTGACGCACGCCGGACTGGAAAAAACAACTCTGTGAAGCGCGCACGTGCAGCCGCTTCATTGCTCTTTGCTAATTGTGCGTTTGATTTCTGCCCTGTGCACACGGTGATAATCCGCCATCTGGCTCGGCAGTTCCACGTGGGATGATGAGACATTAGAAATGTGGCTCTCGGAGGAGAGCGAAAACGCTCTCAACGGATTCTCTCTGCCTTTTATTTTACTTGCACTTGAGAGGAATTACGTGTACACATGTAATTCACATTGTACGTCACGGTGACATCATTATAGGGCCGTAATGACACGCTTGACCGTTACCATGAAAGCCTTACCACGTTCATGAACGAGGCTTCAAACTTTCCCGGGACAGGCCATGAACCACCACCTAGATATAAATCTACAAGATATCTTCAGAATTAATTGCATTTTGCAATTGAATGATGACTATCTGCCTAATACTTCCTTGATGAATGTGCTTTACCGTGAGATTTGAACAATTCACCAAGGACCTACCGCAATACAAATGCAACATGCCTTTATGTAATAAATAAATATGTATGTACTTTTTGTTGTTGTCTCATCTGTCACTCCTGGAGCCAAGTTCCTGTATTTATTTGTTTTTTAAATGTTCCCACAGTTCTGTTGCGCAAGTGTCGTGCATCTCTCTCACCTGCATCGAGACGCAGCATGCAACATCCAGAGGCATCTTTAGCCACATCGTCATCATCAGCCACAGTCAACCCACTGCTGGATGAAGAGGTCTCCCCAAGCGCTATAACCATGTATCACGGCCCCATGTTGGATCCAGCAACCCACCGAGCGTGTGCACACGAGCTCACTTCATTGCTCCATCTCCAGGGTGGACACAATTGTGGGTGCGTTCTCTCCTTTGATTTGCCAATCCGTCGGCATTCTCGCCCACCGCCCATCAATCCTTCAAGCAGCGTGTCCTGCCCAAGCCCACTTACTTCTCACGAC